TATCACTACGTGATGATATGAATGTTGTATGCGATGATGAGAACGTTGCGTGCGACAATGTGAATGTATCCTCGTCTGCGGATGTAAACAAAAAACGAAAGAGAGCTCACGATGCATTATCAAAATTATGGCACTGTCGTTTATGCCATATTTCGAGGGAGAGAATAAAAAGACTAGTTAAGAATGATATTCTTCCTCCATTAGAGCTCTCAGATTTAGAACAATACAAAGAATGCATTAAAGAAAAGTATGTAAAGAAAATTAAGAAAGATGTCAAACGAAGCGTAGGAATTCTATAGATTATTCACATAAACATCTGTGGTTCGTTTCCTGTAAAGAGTGTGCATGGTTATGATTCGTTCATAACATTCACAGATGATTACTCCCGTTATGGCTATATTTATCCAATCAAAGAAAGAACAGAAGCATTGGATAAATTTAAGATATTTAAGGCTGAAGTTGAAAACCAACATAATTTAAAGATCAAGATAGTCAGGTCCGACCATAGAGGGGAGTACTACGTTCGGCATACCCCATATGACCAAGTTTCTGGACCTTTTACAAGGTTCTTATAGGAGAATGGCATAGTAGCCCAGTATTCTATACCGGGCGAACCTCAGCAGAATGGAGTAGCTGAAAGACGCAATCGTACCCTGATGGATATGGTGCGTAGTATGATAAGTTATTCCACCTTACCGTTGAGCCTGTGGATGGAGGCGTTAAAAACAACCATTCATATTCTCAATAGAGTACCAAGTAAGTCGGTGTCCAAAACACCGTATGAGTTGTGGACAGGAAGAGTACCCTCACTAAATCACTTACGTGTGTGGGGGAGTATTGCTGAGGCTAAAGTATTTAACCCAAACATTGGGAAGCTAGATCCCAAAACAGCGAGTTGCTATTTTATTGGCTACCCAGAAAAGTCAAATGGTTTTCGTTTCTACTGTCCAGACAGACATATAAAGTTTGTGGAAACGAGACACATTGTCTTCCTAGAGGATGAAATGACGAGGGGGAGCATGATAGCTCGAGAAATTGACCTTGAAGAGAAGCGGGTGTATGCGCCCACTTTGATGATTCATGAGCCATTTTTCTCACTACCTGCTATCGCTGCACCGACAGTACAAGATACTGTGGTGCCAGCACCTGTTGTTATTCCGCCTGTGGCAACAATGAATGATGATGAGGAACCTGTTCTTCAGGATCCTATAGAACCTATTGCCACACATGAGGGGGAGCAACAACAGCCTCAAACAGAAGATATGCCAAATGTGGAGGCCCCTAGAAGGTCTCAAAGAGTTAGAAAATCAGCTATTCCTACTGACTATGAAGTATACAATACTGAGGAATTTTAAATGAAGGATGATCCCATCTCATTTGAAGAAGCCATGAGAAGTGATCATTCATCAAAGTGGCTTGAGGCCATGGAAGATGAAATAAAATCCATGAATGCCAATAAATTTAGGACTTGGAAATAATTCCTAAAGGAGCCAAAACAGTAGGTTGTAAATGGGTCTACAAAACAAAACTTGACTCTCAAGAGAATATAGAGAGATATAAAACGCGACTTGTGGCAAAAGGCTTTACGCAAAGAGAAGGGATTGATTACAATGAGACCTTTTCTCCAGTCTCATATAAGGATTCCTTCAGAATTCTAATGGTATTAGTGGCATATTACGATTTAGAATTACATTAGATGGATGTAAAGACGTCATTTCTCAACGGTGACTTAGAGGAAAATGTTTACATGGCACAACCAAAAGGTTTTGTCATGGAAGAAAAAGAACGAATGGAATGCTACCTAAAAAAATCTATTTATGGATTAAAACAAGCTTCAAAGCAGTGGTACTTGAAATTTGATCAGATAATAAGGAATTTTGGGTTTAAAGTGAATGTTGAGGACAATTGCGTCTATGTAAAGTTTAAGAATGGAAAGTTTATCTTCCTTGTCCTGTATGTGGATGATATCTTACTTGCTAGTAGTGATGTTAGTCTACTGCTGGAGATAAAGAAGTTTTTGTCCTCAAAATTTGGTATGAAAGATTTTGGTGAAGCTTCGTTCATTCTAGGGATTGAGATTCACCGAGATAGAAGTAAATGGGTATTAGGACTGTCACAAAAGGCATACATAGAAAAGATCTTAAAGAAATTCAGTATGCACAAATGTAGTCCCTCACCTGCTCCTATAGTCAAGGGCGACTGATATGGGGATTTTCAATGCCCCAGGAACCAATATGAGATCGATCAAATGAAAGCGGTTCCATATGCTTCAGCTGTCGGAAGCTTGCAATATGCTCAAGTATGCGCGCGCCCTGACTTAGCATTTGTTATCGGGTTACTTAGCAGATTCCAGAGCAATCCTGGAACAGAACACTGGAAATTAGTAAAGAAAGTCTCGCGTTATTTGCAAGGAACGAAAGGCCTCATGATGACGTATAGAAGATCTGATTCACTCCATATAGTGGGATATTCAGATTCTGATTATGCGGGAGATGATAGAAAATCCACGTCTGGATATGTATTCACTCTCGTAGAGGGAGCTATTTCATAAAAAAAGCTCAAAGCAAACCGTCACTACATCGTCCATAATGTATGCCGAGTTTATAGCGTGTTATGAGGCAACGGAGCAGGTGAACTGGCTAAAGAAGTTCATACCCGGTTTGAAGGTGGTTGACGACATCTATAGACCACTTAAGTTATACTACGATAATAATCCGGCAGTACAGTATGCTCACAACAATAAGTCAAGTGGTGCTGTCAAACACATTGACATAAAGTATTATGTTGTGAAAGATAAAGTCCGGGATCATGTCATAAGTCTTGAGCATATAAGTACCGAAAAGATGCTCGCGGATCCGCTTACAAAAGGCTTACCACCCAACGTGTTCAGAGAATATGTAGCCGGCATGGGTTTAAGGGAAAGCCTATAATTCATGGACAAAAGAAGGCCCAAAGATAAGTATCTATTTCAGAACAGAGTGGTGTGTTGTAGCTGTTAAATCTATCGGCAATGGACCATGACGATGAGACATGCTCTATGCGCTAATCTATAATGGAATGAACAAAAGTAAATGATACGAAAATGAAAGATGAAAGGAGATAAAGGGGAAGATTGTTAGATTGATCTCTAATCCTAATTGGACCCAACGGCTCAGTTAGGCCTTTGATTCGCGCTCTGATCGGGGGTGCCCAGCCCACCATGGCTGGAGGGCCCCTGTCACACTGCGCTATAAAAAGAGGTGGGGGCCAGCGGCTCTTATCACGAGGTTGACCTGAGCCGAGCTCCCCACCGACAAACCCTAATCCGATCTAGAGGGCGCGCAGCCAGTGACGGGAAGCCACCAGCCGCGCCGCTACCGGACTCCACTGCCTTCACCGCCGGTCGCCACCTCGCATCACCGACGCCGTCTTCACCGACCGTCGCTGCCCTAGCGCAGACATCGACTCCATGGCGGACGCGAGCGGATCTTCCTCCACTGCGGTGTCAGGTTTGACACGTCCATCTTCTACCTCTCCCTTTCTCTCATTCTACCTACTGTTACTGCTCTAGTAGACGTTCTAGGATTCATGATACTATTCAACAGCAAGTACCCGGCTAGATCTATGCTCTAGTGGTCCTATAAGTACAACAACATTATCTTCAAAGTACTTTGTTTGCAGCAATGAAGGTCAAAAGAACACGAATCCAAAATATCAACCAAAGAAAGAAAGAGCTTCAACAAGGACATGTTGCAATGCTTTCAATTCTACATTTCTCGAGAAGGAATCTGGACGTTGCAGAAAGTCATTCTCCCTCACAATCTTAGTTTTGTAAGCCATGAGAAGGCACACATGCTTAGATCGCAGTGGCGTATGACAAAAGCAGATGAGCATATCATTAGCAAAATGCGCCAAGCTGGAATTAAGCCAACTGAAATATATGAGTTTTTTCAGCGATGGTCAGGTGGAGTTGAGAATGTGCATTTCTTGAAAATGGATTGCAATAACTTCATTGGTCGTGAGCGTAAAAGATACTTGAAAGCCCAAGATGCACAAACAATATTAGAATATTAGAATATTTAGAGAATAAGCAAGTTGAAGATCCTTCTTTCTATTATGATGTTCAATTAGACAGGGAGGATGGTCGAATATGTTACTTCTTTTGGGCAGATGGACAGGCCATTGCAGATTATGCTTGCTTCGGGGATGTCATGTGCGTTGACACTACATTTCAGACAAATAAACCTGAAATGCCTTTTGCTCCTATTCTTGGAACAAATCATCATAGGCAAACTATTATTTTTGGAGCTGCACTATTATTTGACGAAAGTGCTGAGTCATTTGTTTGGGTTTTTAGTAATTTTTTGAAAGCAATGTCTAGAAAGCAACCTGTTACGATTTTCAAAGATCAGTGTGTTGCAATGGAAAAGGCAATTAAGCTTGTTTTTTTCCAAACTCAAGCCATCGCCTGGCACACATACCAGAATGCTGCAAAACACCTCAGCCAAGTAATATCCGATAATGAGCATTTGTTTGTGCAAAAAGTACGACTGTTTAGGTAAGTACATATGATTAAAATGTCATGCAATTTGTTTGTATGTATATGTCATATCATTTCTAATAGTTCTTGCTATCATGCAGGTATGTTATGCAAGCACATACTACGAGTCTTCAGCTAAAACAATATTATCATTTTGCCTCCTAGGTACATACTGAGTCGATGGACAAAGTATGCAGAAAGGGACACCTTATCAAATAACAAGCAACATCAGCGTGATGACTTACCAGCTCAGAGATACGTGGAAATAAATTCGTAAGTATGAAGCACCTTTCAGCATCATGTTGTGACTGCTTAAATGGCACAAGTTTACTAGTGCGCGAAATGATTGGTTTGACTATATAATCTTGTATTGTAATCCACACACAATAATTGGATACTAACACTTCACGAGTCTCCTTTTGTAATAATAAGCATGTTGTAGAAATAAAATTGAGAGGCCTCAATCCTCATATCCATCATCCTATAGCCATGGCACAGCATATTGCTTTTGACAAAGGGGCAGCTCCTGGGTCCGTTCACAGCCATAGAGGCCCCCAATTCCACTTCTACGATCGTTCACCGTTTTCTTTCCGAGCGAACGATCCGACTGGCTCGTCTCCTTTCCTTTTCGGCGTTCTTTCTTTCCCCGTTCCCTTTCCCGTTCCGTCCGTTGCAGAGCGCGAGCGACCCACACCCACGCCGCGCCGCTGTCTCCGCCGGTCCGCCCCTCTGTGCCTCCCTCCCCAGAATCGCGTCGGCCCGTCTCCTTGTGCCGCGAAACCCTCGCCATGGCAGAGGCGCCCGACACCGCCGCCGCTAGCGCCAGCTTCGGCGCCGGCGACTTCGTCTCCGCCTCCCAAATCGGGGATCCCGCCGCGGTACGACCTGGACGCCAAGTGCGACCCGTGCCTCGACCTCTCCATCCGCCGCGTCGCCTTCTCCCTCGCCGACGCCTTCGCGGGCCTCCTCCTCTTCCGTAAGGATACTCCCCCATTGCGCTCTGTCTCGTGAGATCTGGTTGCGGCTTGCTCGGTGTCCTGGCGCTGGATTGCTTGCTGGGTGCGCCTACTGTTCTAGGGTTAGCGCGACGTGGATGCTCGTCTTCGCTCCGTCTTGACCAGCCTGCCCGATGCTGATGCGGATGCTGGCCAATTGATGCAATCACGTTGCGCATTGTGCCTGATATGATTGCTTTAGGGTATCATAGATTCATAGAGCTCCTATGTCGTGCTGTCTCCATGATTTGCATAGAGCGTTTTATGTAGTTGACTTGTAGAGTCATTTGTTAAGGGTGGTGATTTGCTCTATGCGTGAAGTTTTCTTAGGTTAGTTTTATTGGCTGGCATGGAGGGAGCGTTGGACCGATAGGCTGCACTCTGGGTAAACCTAGGCTCAACTTGGTTGACAGAGGATGTTGAAATGTTTGTCTCATCACCGGGCCTCAATGTTGTTTTCAGGGAGGTTGCTACCTGTGGCTGTGTTGCTTGTTAGGTTTGTGATTCCTTTGGTTGCTAATAAAACTTGTGTGCTTAGGGTGCTCCATACATGCTGTAGTGCTGATTGCCCTACTAACATATATAACGAAGTTGGATATAGCAACCTTCTTGCAGAATGCAGTTTCTCTTTTAGCGCTGAATCACATGTTGTCTAGAGCTCTGCACTGCATAAATTGTGGCATCCGATTGCATAGGACGTGCATATGTATAATTGAGACTGTTAGTGTTCATTATATGTAATCTTTGTTGAAGTGATATAAATGGAAATGAGACGAATGGTGAGCTGCTTGGCTGTGAGGGTGACAATTACTCCCTCCATCCATAAAAAAAAAATGCAATCCTAGCACAGTACCAAGTTAAAGTATCTTAAGTTTGACTAACTACATATAAAAAAACATCAATATTTATGATATTAGATAAGTATTGTTAGATTTGTTATGAGATATATTTTCATAGTACATACTTTATTTGGTGTCATAAATATTATCAATTTACCTATATATTTGGTCAAACTTTAGGCACTTTAACCAAGAATGCATCTAGAACTGCATTTTTTTTTTTGGACGGAGGTAGTATGTTACTCATGCTTAGTTGTAAGCAGTACAGGGACAGGCTGTGTTACGACCTTTGGTGATTTAGTTTGCTACTTACAGTGAATCCTATAATTTTGTTGCACAACATGTTTGCCACTAAAATTGCCAATCAACTATACTACTATAGTATTAACATATATATATGTATTATTCTGGGTGATCGTTAAAAATCATCTGAAAACCGTTATCTGATTATGAACTAGTTTTCTGTCTTTTGTTACGTTATAATATGCAACCCTTTTACTTGTGGTGCTTATTTTTTTTTCCAGAAGTATTGTGGCACTTTCCTCTGCTTCACCTTCAGCCTCCTGCATTTATTCCATTAGAAATAACGTTAATTTCGTATACCTTTTTTTTCCTGAACCACAAAAATAATAGCTGTAGTAAGGTTTTTTTTTTTTCACTTGCCTCATTTAGATCAAACAATCTTGGCGCTTTCAAACAATCTGATTTGTTTCTTCCTTCAATTAATATGTTGAGATTTGTACCAACAACAGTTTCTGCATCATCTTTGAGAATTTGCCCTGTGTTTGTAGCACTGTGGCGCTACTGTTTGTTTAACAGATAAGCTTCCAATTCTGCCAGGCTACACAGTTTCTCCTTGTCTTGTCCGTCCAGTCTCCTATCGGTGAATTCCTACAATGCACAGAAAGATAGTATCAACTTTTCAATTGCATCACCTAGAAACAAGTATAGTAGTTTGATAAGAATAATAAAGAAGTCATGACTATTCTAGAATGCCTAGGTATTGCTCATAACTTGTGTCACAATTAGGAGAAGTACAAGATCTCTACATGTACCAGAATCCATACTTATAGTTCCATATAATATGTACTTCTCATGTACTAGTACATAGATAGGCTAAGTTCACTACATAATATTCTGCATAATTTGACCATTATAACTTAGGAATGTAAGCTGCGGAGCATAACTTAGGTGGATAAGTTTTAGGGGCAAAGTTATGTCCATAAGTTTTGTGAATAACTTATGCCTTACCAAGCTATACCGTGAGTTACTTTGAAAAATTATGGTCACAAGTTGTTGTCACAATTACTTTTCATATTCTAGAATGCCTAGGGTAGAAAATACTATCAACTCGATTGTTATGAAATAATAAAAGTCAGAATTCAAATAACAAGCAACAAATGTACGTCGTGTTGATTGCTATTACAACAATGCATTGTATAAGACTAATTATTGCATTACATAGTAACACATCGTTGCACATGTACCTAGTCTATTAAGATTAGATGTTTGGGAAATGCTCTTTTGTTATGTAAGAGACAGACAAGGTATCGAAAATTGTGAGGATTTAAAACTGGAGTCATATACATTGCACATGTAGTCACTTGGATAAACTTTTTGAATCGCCTGCTATGGTTGTACTTTTTTTCTTGGGCACAAATTATCTATTGAAGTGGAACCTTCTAATAGGTGTTGAATATTAGTCTTCATCACTTCCCTGCATGTTTGTTAAGTCTTAATTAATTCTTTTGTTTCATTTCAGGAGCCAAGAAGAAAGAAAAGACCAAATCAATTTAGAGGTCAATTATTGCAGAGGAACTCATTTCTTTCATCCAATGAGACATTGAGATGTGATTACTAAGTAGTTGAAGAAGTTTCAGTATATATGAAGCAACTCAGATCAAATTTCTAGTTTTAAGCAAACTAGATTACTCAGCTTTGGTGATTCAAAATATGAGATCCATCCAATCTCCTACAATGCAATTTAAATCTCCACAAGAAAGTTCAATACCTTCTAAAGCATTCTTCTTCAAACATGTCTTCATTTCAAATGCTGTAGAGAAAGTTGTTTATCAGTATATTATTTCTAATATTCTTGGTCCATATCCTGCTAGAAGGTAACTTGTTCTAATTCTTAGCCTACCAAACTATTACATTATATTCAGTTACAAGATGATTATGATTTAACGTTTTAATCATTTCTTCTCCTCTCTCAGCCCTAGAATTTTTAAAATATTGAAAGTCCATTGGGTAGACCACCGAACATTTTGAACTGTCGATACAAGTTTATGGTTCAATCTCTGCTCATGTTATGAACATTATGGGAGTTGCAGTAATGAAGGATCAATTTCGTAAATATTTTTCGGATTCTCTACCTTCGTCTCAGTGGTGAAAATATATATTTTTCCAACTCTGTTTCTGTGAGTTCCTTCATTCTTATTTGATATTTGGTTCTTTTTCACATAATTTATTCATAAGCATCTCTTATTTTTTTTCATAATTGGGATTACTTAATTTGTTGTACTTATTTTGCACATACCTTGTATGTATCATGTACTGGTATCAACTGTCCTAATATTTTTTTTATATTGAACTTGTTTTATTAAATTATATGCATGTAATTAACTTGTGTATTGTAGTTATTATGTTGTAGTTTTTGTATTATGTTGTAAGTTTGTTGTCAAACTTTTATATCTAACTTTGTGCACATAACCTGTAGATATTAAGTTCGTGCCAAACTTTTTATATCTAACTTTCTATACATGTATAACTTTCTGCACATAACTTTCATGTCTAACTTTCTCCACATAAGTTTATGTCTAAATTTGTGGACATAATTTGTAGCTATTAACTTTTATGTCTAACTTTTTTTTTCACATAAGTTATTTGGTTTATTATATTTTGCACATAACTTGTAGTAATTAACTTGTGTGTTGGACATGGTTTATTAAATTATATGCTTAAGTTTTGTTTTGCTACGTGTATGTCTAACTTTTTGTTCAAAAATGGGTACTTTATTACCCATTGTGATAGTGCTTTTCAATATGTTTTTATTTGTCTTTTGTTTTTCATGTCTATGCCACCTAACTTAGTTCATTGGCTTATTCTACTGAGTTATGTATCTAACTTCTCTTTTTATGTGTATGCTACCTAACTTACTTGATTAACTTAGTGTACTATCTAACTTGTGTTTTTATGTGCATGCATGCTACCTAACTTATTTGACTAACTTACTGTTAAGAGTAATGTCTTTAACTTATGTTTTCATGTATGTTACATAGTAATCTTACTTTTCCTATTGACTTATGTGTTTTTTATTTTAATGTCACATTTTTATTTTGTATTTGTTATTTTAAATATTAAAATATTTTGCAGATCTTCCAATCGAAGAAACGGATATGCTCAATGTCATAGTTATAGAGATGTTGAGACTATCGCTGCAGAAGTTATGAAAGTTATTATTTATCTGGTTTTGGAAGTTTGCATCATATTATGGAATTTACTATGTAGTATACGTCGTAAAAGTTACTTTTATTTCATCCCCCACCCTTTTATAAACCCTTTCCCCATATTTTCGAATGATTAGTTTCTGAAAAGAGAAAAAAAGCTAATGAAACCTAAAAGAGAATGTTATTATCGCATGTATTTTCAAAATGTAAATTTTGCGCTAAAAGAAAAGGTAGTATTGTATAACTTAGCACTGCTAAATTATTCATAGAAGTTATGCTGTCTAATTCAGTTATCTAAGTTATATGCGTATGGTTCTAAAAAAAAGAAAGAAAATGTGAGAACGCGAACGCGTGGGAATGAATGCTTTTCTATTTAGGCAAAAGTTGCTGTCTAAATTCGTTCGCTGGGTTCATTTTCGCTAGAGGCCATTGTTTTTGCTGAGGTTGGCCGTGAGGGAATTGCAATTCGCCTCCGCAGCGAAGCCATGGAGCTCCGCCACGCCTGAGCCTGCGTTGCCATGGCTTGGCCCTGACATGGACCTGTTGTTGCTGCTACACGGACCTGGAGGAGTTCCATTGCAGACGGGCTAAGCTTCGCAGCATGAGCCTTCCATGGTTGCCGGGATGAGCTCACCGGCGGCCGGCGTGGCGCCCATGGGGACCGGGGCCAAGCTTGCAGCGGGATTCGTGGCGCGCACTCGGCGGCGCAATTGCGAGCCACCGCGCGTCATGGGTGTCGCTGTTGCTGCTGCTGCTGCGGTGCATCGTAAATCACAAAGTAAAAAAAAGATCATCTGGCGGCGCGACGCTGCGTCTCGTGGTGACGCCGCAGCTGCCACCACCGCGGACCACGCACGTGCATTAGGGTGAGCTGTCGCTGCCGTCGCGCATCGGATCGCTCGCCGCCGCCGCATATTTTGAAGAGACTCTGCGTCGCCGTCTTCCTTAGGGGTCGACGGGGAGCCACTCGGCGGAGCAGCGTGCGCCTCGGTTGCTGCGCGTGCTCGGCGAATGGGCGGCGCCACCGCTTTTCCCGCAGCCGAAGCATCGAGCGCACGAGCAGCCCTCAGCTCTCGATCGTCGTCGTGTGAATCTCCAGCCCTCTCTCTCGCCTTTCCCCTGTCTAGATGCGGATCGAGGCCCTTCGACTCGTCGTGCGGGGCTGCTGGACGAGATTTGAACGGAGGGAGTACAGGTAACGGCGTCGGTAACGGAGGCGGGAGTACACGGTTGAAGGTTGCATTGAGATTGTTATACAGGCCACGTGTCAAGCAACGGATGGAGGTCTTTTAGATAGGGCCATAGGGGAAAGACCAGGTCTCTCAGAATTTGCCTCCTTTGGTGCTGCTTCTGCCACGGGGTGACTGGGGGCACGTGCTAGTAGTCTTTTTTTTTTTTCCTTTTCATTCACCACGCCTTCGGATCTTGATCGGCCGTCCATAAACGCGAGTGAAATCCAGCGTTCCCGAGCCTTCCCAAAGGTTTTTTTTAAATCAAGGGTTTTTAAATTACATGACAAAATACTGATTTTTGAACCATGATTTCAAATTATTTTCCAAAAAAAATTGGAAACTATTTTAAGGCCAAACAACTTAACCAAAAACTCAAATTTTGCATTCTGAGAAAAAATTAATTTTACAAATACAAAACTATAATTGGTTTTTATTATATACTTAAAGGATTATATGAGTTTTAGGGTCCTAAGGTCTTTGGTTTTGGACCGATAATAACAAAATAAAAAATAGATCTAATGTGACCGTCTTATCGGCAATAGTAGGGCCGATAGCTTGGCGACCATAACTCAATTATGGCTGCCCAAAATCCGATAGGTAATTTTAGAATTTACTATGTAGTTTTACAATTTTTTATCAAATAATATAAAAGAATACTATTTTGAAAAAAAAAAGAGAGTGGAAGCGTTCCCGCTCATCTCCCTCGAGTCCCCCCACATCCGCGATCACAACACGGTGGAGAGCGCGTAGGAACGGCATGGGCCGGCCGGCCCAACGGGTCCTTATTCTCTCCGCTCATTGGCTCCTTGCAACCAACGACTACGTCCATGACCACGTCAAGGTAAGCGTACTACGCTTCCATTCCATGCCTTCGCCGTTCTGTTGAACTCAATAACAAGCCCGACACTGTCTGTTCGACTGAATGCTTCAATGGTTGAGAGTGTACTATCGCGAATTGGACCCCAATACTGGTGCCCGTGCCTCTGCCGGAGGATCCTCCACGCTGAGGGTAACAGCACGGCTTTCAGAGTTTCAGTGCCTGCCTCCTTGCCACATCTAGCAGTAGCAGGCATACATTTCTTCAAATCGGTTCTTTCATTATCACAGAGCAGTGTTTTTGTAAGATGGTGAGCACCTCTTCTCCCAGGACGTCCTCTCATCCAACAGTGCCGTCCACTGTTTGAGATCGTCTAGCCTTGCTACTTTCAGAATTCTGACCAATATCTGATCTTCAGTGGTTCGACAAATTTTCAAATGGCCAGTAATAAATAATAACTTGTCTCTGCGTTCTCACTACTATATTGCCTTGATTTATGTTTTGTAGTAAATTGGTCTTAGCAAATTGCTCTTTTCTGATAGCAGACTAGACATTTTTATGAAGAGCGGATCAGTGGAAAAGCGATATAGGTTGGTCTCTAATTGTTAGAAGTCTGAATTTACTAACCGTGAGTCCGTGACAAACTACAACATGGTTTCTTGCCTACTAGAGAGAAGGAAAAGTGGTGAGCCTAGGAGACTATGCAGTTGCAGTGATGAGCCACCAAAGTGAAACGATGAATAATAATATAATATGCACTTATTATGTTGTGAGCCACCAAAGACAAGACATTGAGAGGGCAGTTTGATGTCTTCTTTGGTTAATGCACAATTGATGATACAGGTGTACATTACTGAAATTTATATGCTTTTTTTTCTTTGCAAACACCCGCTTATTATAAATTGTGCATCATATACACTTGATCGAATCAGCATGTCAGTTTGGTGTAGACAGAGATGTCCTTGAAGATGGTTTCTAAGAACAAGACAGAGGTCTTTTCATGTAATCGATATGTTTTATTACTAAGAAAATGTGATGTTTGAAAACTTGGAACCAGTGTTTTGGTTTTACATTGAAGCAGAGCAAAGACAAGATTCTCGGTGCGTAAATAATACTTCATATAGCATTGCCTTAGAGCCTTGGAACCAACTCACATGAGGCCATGAGCTTCTGATTGTTGGAGTATTGAATTTGATAGAAGCTGAGGGCTTGGGTATCATGAACAATATATGATGACTGCTACTCTTTGTGTGTAATTATTTATTATTGGATTATTATTTCTATAGTAGAATCATCATTGAATTTGGTCTCGCAAAAAAAAAAAAGAATCTTCATTGAATTTAATATATTTTCACAATTTATGATAGGATCTGTTTTGGTTAAAAAAATCATTGTCGGGTAAAGTCAAGCAGTATATCTGATGTTCTGTAGGAAGAGGAAGTGTAGATTATGTAGAAAGAGATGAAGATCTTTGCTAGGATAAGTTCTTAATTTTTAACTCCGCAGTCCGTCCTGCTATAGTCGAGTGGTCTACCTTGTATGGACAGCTGCTATCTCTGTTTTTAGATGGTGTTCATGTAAAGCAGCTTTGCTACAATTCAGGAACATGTACTTGTGAGGCTCTTCAAATCCTTCAGATTGTGTTGTTTTGTTTTATTATTTTGTGACGTCTCAAACTTATAGTAATTCCGTAGTTCAGGCAGTGGCGGCCCAGGAGTTTAAGCTTGGTTATTCGAAATATAAAGGGGTGTAAGAAAAAACTTTTTTCGACAACCAAAAAATCGAAAACTTTTTTTCATGTGGATTCCTGTTTTTGGACATGGAAAACTAGTTTTGACATGGATTCCTGTTTTGAAAACTGATTTCTTTTTATGCGGATTCATTTTGTTTTCCACGGATTCCTGTTTTTCCAAGTGGAGTCTTGAAACAATAGTAGCTTTTGGCCTTAATGGCCCTGTTCGCTTCTCTTATAATCCGTATTTTTCAGCTTGTTTTTTTTTAGTCGGAACAGTGTTTTTCTCTCACAACAAATCATCCGGAACAATGTTTTTGCTTGTTTTTTCAGCGAAGCGAACGGGACCAATGGCAGTGGCCACAATGGCTGTTATTACAGAGTTCCCTCATAAAATAGTGGTTAACAAAACTTCACAGTCAGGAGGGATTTAGTACAATCATCATCAGGAATTGTTGAAAACAGCAGTACAATAGTGGTTACAAAACACCAGTTATACCCTTCACTTAGGGCCTTTACAACACTATTACGTGGCAGGCGCTGAAGGGAAGTTAAGTCCGTTTTATTGCCCGGGTGGAACTTAGCCCGAGCGCTTACGGACGTATTGACTAGGCCACAAGCACCGATGCCCCTGGCCTGCCCCAAAAGTGCTGAACGATTACTACTCCATCCGTATGTTCAGCGTTGTGGTAGACGAGCGCCAAAATAGGTTGCTGAGGTTTCAAACTCATTAAGGGCTCGTTCGTTTGCCGTGGATTGAATGCCTGGAATGATTCCAGCTGGAATTGCTTCACAATTTGTATAGTTTTCATAAGCTGGAATTGTTCTTGGGCCAAATCCAAGGTAACCGAACGTAGCCTAAGGGTTTATAAGAAACCTTTCCATTGTAGATCAGTAGATGCTTGATGATGTTGGATATATTCTGTCTTTAAGAATCCATCTAAGCCACTTTGTCCATGCCCTTAGACTTCACACGGTCAGAAAGGACAAAATAGCTAAAGAAATCCTGGAACAATAGAAAAAACAAAAATTAGGACTGATTGATATGACAAGCAGTGACAAATTCATTTCATGTACCTTCATGTGATTTATCTTCTGAACAATATCCTTGTCATCTTCTGAAAAAAATTCAATGGCGCCGTTTGCTGCTCTAGTGGGTTTGAAAGAGTTGAAGAAATCCTACAACAAAACAGTCGTTTAGGAATCACATAAGCAGTTTCGAATCAGAGGTCCAAGAGTTTACAGAATTTGGGGTTTAAGAGGAGGAGCTTTTAGCAGTCCCCACCCCTAAGTAGATAATAGATCTCTAGAAACCTATTCAGAGGTAATATGTAGAGCAGTTTCTAGTGTGTGTGTATATGCCACATATATGTACCTTGGCAACATCCAACATTTTTACATTTTCCTGATGATTGGCGTCAAGCTGATGTATGACCCGCTCCATCCTCGTTATTTTCTCTGTCATTCCTCGAGTCTTCTCTACAAGATGTTGGATTAGCATGTGTTGCTGAACAATCAGGTTATCCGGTGACTCAGTGTCTTCCACTTCTTTTGAAATTCCTAAATGACTGATACATACAAATAAACATCCAAAAAAATTGAAACTTGAGCAAGGGCGGAACAGAGTGTCGATGGCAAGTCTTAAACTCAAATTTTGCAATGCGAGAGAAATGACTTGAACTCGGGACCTTCCGATCATAAATGTAAGACTCTACTGCTTGCACCAGGCCCGCCCTTCATACATACAAATAAACATGTTAAGAAAAATCATAATCTACCTGAAAAATTGATCAACAATATGCATTATGAATACTAACCTTGTACCATGGTGCTGCTGCAACACTGCATCCTCCTCAGTGTCCCCCATGCACTCAATGGGACCATCTTTTCCGCTCACTGTACCAAATTGACAGAACAATGACCTTGAAAATTTGCTGAAATCATATAAATTGTCTTGGAGTAGTATTTATTCAATACCTCGTTCCTCCAGATGACGGAACAAAGTATGAAGGTAACCTACAGCTTGCTTAATAAAGTTTTGCAGGGCCATCCTGAGCCAAGCTTGCTGGACACCGATCCCTGCAGCCCCGTACCCGCACAGTGGTACACACAGGCGCGCTGCGGCGTTGGGACCTCCCCCCGCACACTGCACCCCGCAGAGTTGATGGTGGATCCTGAAACAGAACAAAGGGAGGGCTAATTTATACTTAGAAGGCTAAAAATCTTACGCCGTATTACTGATAGCATAAAGAACATAAATAACGATATCAACTCAAAGTGCTCGAGCAATATGTATTGAAGCCTTGAAATTGCATTAAAAAGGGATGACAATTGTGATATATCTATGAAAAATAAATGAATACAATACGTGTCATTCATGATAGATATTCTAGAACCTCTAGGTGCAGATCGGTGGGTAAAAGCAAAACTTAGATAGGGAAACTTGCTTGGTGTACCACATGTCGAGCGCAGTCGCGGCCATGGCACCATCGACGAGGGAGCAACCCATGGAGACAAAGTGCTGGCGCGGTGTAGTGATGGCGACCGACGGCGATGCGAGGTCCCACGGTTCGGTGGTGGCATTTCCCGCCGCTTCAGCACTCCCTTGATCGGTAGGGTTAGAGCAGTAAGTGGGGATCATGGTGAACCTCGTGTCTGCGCCCTGGCCCCCACCTCCCTCTAAATAGTGCTGTGCGACGGGGGTCCACCAACCTTGGTTTGGTTGGATGTCCCCGATCAGGGCACTGGATCAAGGCCCGACTCGACCGTTGGGCCGAGTCGGATGAGATCAACACTAACAATCTCTCCCTTGATCTCACCTCATATTTGAACTCAACTTTCTTTATCTTTTTCCATTCCATCACAGATCAATGCATAAAGTGTGCTTCGTCGTCACGGTCAGTTGCCATTAGATTTAACAGCTACAATGCACCTCTCTGTTTTGAAACAGATACTCAACTAGGCCCTTAGTATCCAGAAATCATAGGCTTTCCCATAAACTCATGTCGACTGTGTGTTCTCTTAACACACAAGGTGGTTAGCCTTTGGTAAGCGGATCCGCAAGTACTTACTCGGTACTCATGTGCTCAATGCTTTCAAATGAATCTGGATTTTCTCCTTTACAACATATAACTTAGTGTCAATGTGTTTGGCCGCACACTTGACCTGTTGTCTTAGGAGTTAACTAACTTTAAATGGTTATTGTTGTCGTCTACCATTGTTAAATCCGGATACAAATTACCTTAACATCTTTTGCATGTTCCTTAAGTCTCATGTGAAGCTATACTATGGTGTGCATAACTAATGACACCATAACTGTTTCTTTGGAGCTTTTCCACAATAATACTCCAACTGCGAGTATTAGCAACTACTGTGAATTTCACTACACATCTCGTCAAGACTTAACATTTGTACCCTCAACTATTTGAGAGTAGTTATTCTTTCTTACTCAGCATGAGGCCTATGATACTTTGCAAAATTGCAAGACATTCTCAACTCAATTCCAGTGATCTATATCTGAACTGGACTTCTGCCAAAATATTCTGGATACATAAACTATATCAGGGTAAGTTCTTACTTGTACTTGTACACACATCAAGCTTCCAACAGCTGAAGCATATGAAATCATATTTATTTGATCGATCTCATATCGATTCCTGAAACACTTAAAGTTTCTAAAACTATTACCCTAGACTATAGGAGCAGGCGTAGGTTTACTCGCATGCATACTTTATTTCTTTAGAATCTTTTCTAAGTATGCCTTTGCGATAGTTCTAATACCCAATTTTCTTCCATCTCGGTGAATTTTGATTCCTAGAACCAATGACGCTTCACCAAGATCATTCACATTAAAACTTGAGGACAAAACTTCTTTTTCACCAATAACAGATTAACATCACTACTAGTGAGTATAATGTCATCTATTCACAGGATGTGGAAAATAAAATTTCCATTCTTAACTTCGTATAAACGCTATTGTCCTTCTCATTTTCTTTAAAACCTAAATTTTCTCATTGTTTCATCAACTTCAAATACTATTGTCTAGAGACTTACTTTTAACCCATAAATGGATTTCTACAGGCGGCATCCCTTATGTTATTTTCTTCCACGACAAAACCTTTTGTGTTATGCCATGTAAACGTTTTCATATAAATCACCGATGAGGAATGCCGTCTTTACATCCATCTGATGTATTTCTAAATCGTAATATGCCATGAACACCATTATGATTCTAAAGAATCCTTGCATGAGACTGGAGAGAAAACTCTCATCGTAATCTTTTTATTCTCTTTGCGTAAATCATATTGCTACAAATCATGCTTTATATCTTTCTACATTTCCTTTGGAGTCACATTTTGTTTTGTAGACTCATTAACAGTCTACTGTTTTGGCTTCATTAGGAATTACTTCTAAGTCCCAAACATCGTTGGTATTCATCGAATTCATTTCAACTTCTATAGTTTCTAGCCATTTAGACGAGTAAACGCTTCTCACGGCTTCTTCAAATGAGGTGGGATTACCCTCCATTTGAATTTTTTCACTAACATAGACTTCATAGTCATCAGAAAACTAGTTTACTAATTCTTCGAGATCTTCTGGAGCCTCAGCTACTGACACTTTTATATAGGGCTATTGTTTCTCTTCATTGCCAAGAGGCAATTGATTCTACCGGCTCTTGTATAACAAGATCATTGTTTACATTATTTATCTTTTTCTAAGAGCTAACAACAGGTGTTGTATTGGTCATACAACATCAATAGGTATTGAGAGATTCATTGTTTTTTTTGAATCACTGAAGTGAGCACGCAGCCCCGCTTTTCTTCAAGTCTTAGGTCTCTCCATACCTCTACATACCATGCTTTCCTAGATCTTTCCATCGTTTTTAAAGATAGTGTATCTTCAAATATCTTATTTTGTGTTTAATCCGTTAAAATCTCATATGGCGCTTTAAGCACCACCTTAGTATCTTTGAGACTGACTACGCTATTTTTCTGTTGAAACTTTAAAAAGGTCCAGAAATTTAGCTATTTCTCTGCTTAGGGGTATCATTGTTGTAACCGTTATAGTCCTCTAACGGTCTTTATCTCACTCTTAATGAAGAGTATCTTTCTTAATTGATCTTTATCTTACTCTTAATGAAGAGTATTTTTCTTAATTGACCTTAATATTCTTTCCCTCGAAATATGGCATGAACTTTACTGCCATAATTTTGATAACTATTCAGAAAACCTATAAACGAGGAGACTCTTATAACTTACTTCATTCACATCATTGTGTCATGTAAATAAAGTTATTTCTCGATCCGTTTAGGAGTACATTTTCCTTATTTTACTCCGAGAACTCAACGAGGTCTTTCATTAGCAGTGCTTTTGCAAGTCACACTTGCATCTTTTCTTATCTTTTGGTTAGTATTGACCATGACAATGCATTTCTATTGTGCTAAGGTCAATGGTCAATACTAGGATATCATTAGAGCTACCTAAACTTCTCTCGCTATGCAGGATACAAATACATATGAGTCATCACAAAACTTCTTCCGTCATGCTGGATGGACTAGCATAATTACTATGCCAAAACTTCTCCCCATACGGGATACATCTATACGAAAACTTAGTCATGACGACTAAAACATTTACTTATACTTTATTTTCAATTAAATTTTCCCGTTGGTTCCAATTTAATCAGAAAATTAGTAAACTAACAAAAACTGTCCTGAACTGGCTTGACTCAAGCCTTTTCATTCACATACCTCAGCACTGCAGCCCGTTGGCATGCAGCGGAGTGATCTCATCGGTTAAAATAAAACATACAATATGCTTCTACATCAATTCTACATCACCGTTAGGCAGAAATTAGAATTAATGCATAAAACTCATAAATTAACTTGAAATCCATATAACTACTCTTCAAAATTTTATTCTCCTGTTGGTTTTGAATTTAATTAGAAGATAATTAACATCATTGCAGCGGAAACTTAATAATGAAATACATTCTTTTAGTTTAGGAGCATTTCTTGGTCCTTATCAACTCTCTAAAAAAATTCACCACGTTGGTGTAAAATTTTTCAGAGATTTAAACTTCAAACTTAAATTCGTTATAATATTATCATCATCAACGTTGGTCAGAAAATGATAATACCATAATCTTACTTAAACAAAAAACCGACCACTCCTCTAATTAAATTTTCCCGTTGATTCCAATTTAATTAGAGGATCAACATAATCATAATTTACTAAATATTGCCGCTCTTCAAATTAAATTCCACCGTTGGTTCGAATTTAATTGAAAGATAATAAACATTAAACTTTGCAACGGAAACATAAACATAATTGGTGAATTTTACCAACAGGAAAAAACTCCTCAAAACTAATTTTATTTTAGCCAATAATCAATTTTGCAGGAAAAAACTAAATTTACTGGAAAAAGAAAAAGGGGAAAAGCTCAATTCTTCACTATTTACTGTTTACTCGGCCCGACCGCGGAGACAGCCTGGCCCAGCTCACGCGCTCGCCTGCGGTGCCCTCCTAGGCCACAACCTGGGCCTGGGCCGGGAAAGCGGCCTCCCGCCTAGGCCGAATTCGTCCCGGTGGATCTGTGCCGTTGATCTAGATCCGACGGCTGTGCGTGGATCTCGAGCGAACAAAACCCGGCGCCGGCCGACTCCCCCTCGAACCCTAACTCATTTGTGCAGTTTCTACCTTCTCTCTCTTCTCTACAAATGTTGGGCAGTGGCCATGGTGGCTGAACAATCAGTAAGGAAGCGACCCAGTGAGCAAGTCCGGCTCCCCTTCCTCCTCTTCCTTTCTCTTCCCTTTCCCCTTCTCTTCCTAAATGACTGATACATGCAAATACACGACGGCAGCCCGTGGTGGCCGGAGAAAAGGAACGTGGTGGCACGGCTGCGGGGCCCCTCGCCGGCGCGCACACTCGCCCTAGGCTGAGTGTGCCACCGTCGAGTGGCCTTGCGGTTGCGCCTTGACCCCAAAGCTCGAGGCGTAGGCCGTGCGGTGGCGTGACCTCCCGGGCGGTGGCTCAGATCTTCACCTATTT